AAGACACTATAATATAAGATAACATAATATAAGATAATATAAGACAAGACAGTATAAGATAATACAACATAATATAAGACACTATAATATAATATTCTATAAGGTAAGACAATACAATACAATATAATATAAGATGAGATAAGATAAGAGAAGAGAAGAGAAGAGAAGCGTCGGCCGCCTGGAGCAGCGGCCGGTCAGCCGGGGCAGCCCTCCGCAGGGCGGCACCGGACCGTGGGGGGCGCGAGGCTGCCCTGGCGGGCGCCGGCGTGGCCCTGGGGCTGCGGCAGGGGCGCCGCGCGTGGCGGCAGCCCCCCGGCGTGTCCTCCCTTGGGGGCTGGCCGCCAGACGTGCGCTGCGTCCTCCATGCAGGGGCGGAGCGGCCGTCAGTCAGTCGGCGGGAGCGGAAGGTCAGGGGCAGCGTCAGGGGACAAGTAGGCACAGGGGGGGAGGCGGCGGCCCCGGAGCGCCCAGTGGTCGCCGACAGGGGCCCCACGAGCCCCGTCCTGCACGGGAAGGCGCGGATCCACCATCGGGGGCCTATCGCCGATCTGTCGGCGACGTATCTCAGCGGGCGCAGAACGGTGTGACGTAAACTTCTCCGCCGTCGGGGACGCGTGCCCATGGGCGGCTGGAAAGTTTAGACCCCTGTGGTACCACCGTGAGGGTATGAACTCTCCAGCCGCCCATGGGGCAGGCGCCCCCGACGGCGAAGGAGTTTACGGCAGGCCGTTCTTCGCCAGTGAAGCGTCGGCGATCCCGGGTTGACGCGGCCCCCCCCCCTCTTGTGCCAGTCCCCCGGGAGGCAGGCGACGAGCTGTCGGCAGGCAGCGTCTGAGTTGGGCGGATTCGTTGAACAAGAGCTCCCCCCGTTGCCTGCCTCGCCAATATTTGGGATGGGGGAGGAGGAGGAGGAGGGGGAGGAGGACAAGTTAGGTGCGCTCGCGTCAACATCTGACATCCTACCCCTCCCTCCCATCCCTTACCATGGCGCTGATTTTCTCTATCCGCGGACGCGTGTCGTAGCGGACCTGTGGCTCCGCGCGCGCGTGTGTAGTTGGTGGTGGTGCGCGTGCGTGCGTGCGTGGGTGTGTGCGTGGTTGTGGTGGTGGTGGTGGTGGTGCTGGTGGTGGTGGTGGTGTGTGTGTGTGTGTGTGTGTGCGTGTGTGCGCGTGTGCTGTGGTGTGACGTGGTGTGGCGTCTTGGTGGTTTGGTGGTGGGCCAGGTGCGTACGTGCGTGATGGCGGTGGTGGTGGTGGTGGCGGTGTGTGTGTGTGTGTGTGTGTGTGTGTGTGTGTGTGTGTGTGTGTGTGTGTGTGTGTGTGTGTGTGTGTGTGTGTGTGTGTGTGTGTGCGTGAGTGCGTGCGTGCGTGCGTGCGTGCGTGCGTGCGTGCGTGCGTGCGTGCGTGCGTGCGTGCGTGCGTGCGTGCGTGCGTGCGTGCGTGCGTGCGTGCGTGCGTGCGTGCGTGCGTGCGTGCGTGCGTGCGTGCGTGCGTGCGTGCGTGCTTGCGTGCGTGCGTGCGTGCGTGCGTGCGTGCGTGCGTGCGTGCGCGTGCGTGCGTGCGCGTGCGCGCGCGCGGCGCCGCGGGGGCGTCTGCGTCTGCGTCTGCGTCTGCGTCTGCGTCTGTGCCTGTGTCTGTGTCTGTGTGTGTCTGTGTCTGTGTCTGTGTCTGTGACGCGGTGTAGCGTGGTGGTGGTGGGTGGGGTAGTGCGGTGGTGGTGGCGGTGCGCGGTGGTGGTGCGCGCGCGTGCGTGCGTGCGTTGGTGGGTGGAAGTGGCGGTGGGTGTGCGTGCGGCGGGGCGGGGCGTGGTGCGGCGCGGTGGTGGCGGGCGGATGGGCGCGCGAGAAAGAGGCCCGCGCTGGGGCGAGAACGCCATCCTAAACGACGGAGGCCAAACACCGATCCGAAAATGAGGCCCACGCTGCAGTGGGAGCACGATTCGGAACGATTCGGGAGCAGAAATGAGGCCGGCGCCTCAGCGAGAGCAGCATTTTGAAAAAAACGCAAGCGACAACCCGTTTCCCGGGAATCCTGTGTGTAAAAAACAGTACGCCAGGGGGGGGTCGGCCACTCCCAGCACGCCATCAGGAGAAGAGGGAGAGAAGTATTCATATTGAGTAATTCTAGAGGGAGGTGGCGGAGGGGGAGGGGGAGGGGAGGGGGAGAAGGAGGAGGAGGAGGAGAGAGGAGGAGGAGGAGGAGGAGAGGAGGAGGAGGAGGAGGAGGAGGAGAGGAGGGGGAGGAGGGGTAGGAGGAGGAGGAGGGATGATGAGGAGGAGGGGAGGAGGAGGAGGAGGCGGGTCGACTGGAGGAGCGGATAAGCAGGAGGGAGATGAGGAGGAGGCGCAGGTGCCTTTTGCTTTCGTGCCCTCTTCTCTTCTTTTCCCCGCGGGGGCGGACGAGGAGGAGGAGGAGGAGGAGGAGAGGGAGGAGGAGGAGGAGGCAGTAGAGTAGGAGGAGAAGCAAGAGGCGCAAGAGGAAGCATGAGGCGCAGGAGATAGGAGGAGGAGGAGGAGAGGATGAGATGAGGAGGAGGGGGAGAGGCGGAGGAAGAGAGCAGGGGGGCGCAGGAGAGCAGGAGGCGCAGGAGAGGGGAGGATGCGGCGGAGGAGAGGAGGAGGAGGAGGAGCAGGAGGAGGAAGAGCAGGAGGCGGCAGGAGAGCAGGGGGAAGCAAGAGGCGCGGAGGAGTAGGAGGAGGAGGAGGAAGGCAGGAGGAGGAGGAGGAGGAGGAAGAGCAGGAGGCGCAGGAGGAGCAGGGGGAGCAGGAGGAGCAGGAGAAGCAGGAGGAGGAGGAGGAAGAGGAGGGGGAGGGGGAGGAGGAGGAGGAGGAGGAGGAGGAGGAGGAGGAGGAGGAGGAGGAGGAAGTGGTGGGGGTGGGGGGCGGCGGAGGCCTGGGGTCGGCGGCTGCACGCGGTGGGGCCCAGGGCCTGGCCTTCCCCGGCCCTGCCCGGGAGGAGGTTCGGCAACCAATGTTTTTAAGAACCTTTTGCGGCTCCCACGAGATGTTCTCAGAACATTTCTGGCGGAGCCTGTCTTGTTTTATCACATCGGGCCCATGTTCTAAGAACATCGTTTGTGTTATTAGAACATTTGGGGTGGTTCTAAGAACACTTCGTGGTGGACTACAGGAATGCTGGGACGGCTGGTCCCTGCTCAATCTACCCTTCGCCCGTTCTCCCCTGTTTTGGGCCTCCAGGAAGGCCCTCGTCGCCACCGTTGGATCCGCCTCGAAATTCTGGCCAGAACGCACCCCAGGAGAGGTCTGGGGAGCAGCGGTATCCGTACCGTTTGGCTTCCCCAGATGATGCTTGGTCTGTGTCGATGCGCGTGTGAGGCTCGTGCCGAGGAGTTCCAGCCGGAGGAGCGACACTGGTCTTCGCGGGGCGATCCTGGCCAGGGAGGCCAGGGGATCGGAAGCACGGCACCTCTCTCGCCACCGTGAAGAAGTCCAGAGGCACATCAGCCGTTCCCGAAGCGGTAGGGAAGTTGGGGGCGGTAGCAGAGCATCTCACGCATCCTTGTTTGCAGCCCCAGCTTCAGCGTATGTGAACTCAAGTGTCTTTCCTTTGCCGTCGTCGTCTGGCTCGTCCTCCTCGTACTCTCCCGCCTGTTCGTGACGGAGGGTGAGCGCTGGACAAGGTAAGGGAACGAGGAGGCGGACCATTGCGCAAAGCAAGGAGCGCGAGCGTGGAGGGTCTGACAAGAGAGGAGGCAGGCAGCTCAGGGAGCCCACCACCTAGCAACAATGACAGCAAGGTCGATTGTGCAGTCCTCGGTCCGGCTGCAGGACCAGGAGCCAGATGCGGAGGGCATCCAAGGCGATGATTACGCTTGAGAACATGCCTGAGGAGCTCAGGAGGGCCATCGAGGAAGCGAAGGCCGAGGAAGCTCAGGAAGAGGCCCGAGACGAGCCAGGAGAGCGCCAGGGCAGAGGAGGCACAGCGGCCGTCACTGTCCTGGAGTGGCAGGGACACCACCTGGTGCAGTACAGCTGCGGCGAGGAGGAGACGGGCTGGCTTGCAGGAGGTGCGGAGCATGCGGCGCGCAGGGCCGCATGCGCACGCGGAGCGCCAGGCGAGGCCTCGTCCTCGAGCAGTGCCAGGGGCCAGCGGTGGCCCGAAGCAACCGCTGCGGAGGAGGGGGGGAGGGGAAGCACCCGCTTCCCGTCAGAGGTGCAACGAGGTGCACCGCCGAGGGAGGTGACGGCCCAGCCCTGCGGCGGGAGCCGGCCGAGGCGACGGGAGAGAGCGCGCGGTGCCGGGAGAGGCGGAGAGGCCCCGGCGGCGAGGCTCCGAGCCGCGGGAGCACGGAGGGCGGCTCCCCCGCCGAGGCCGCTCGGGCAGCCCTCGTCGAGGCCTGCGGGGCCACGGAGGGCGAGCTGCTGACGCTGGGCACGGAGGGCCAAGAGGCAGCCTCCTCCTCCTCCTCCTCCTCCTCCTCCTCCTCCTCCTCCTCCTCCTCCTCCACGGCAGAGGCAGATGGGGGTTCGAGGTGGGCAGGAGGAGCGCCGCCGGGGCGTGCCGTTCAGGGCGCCCGCGGGGGGGGGCGCCGGCGGAGAGGCGGGCGCGGAGCGGAGCGCAGGCCAGAGGGGCGGCCGCTGGCGAGCCGGAGGCTGGAGGAGGAGCTCGGGGCGGCCGTGCTCGGGGAGGCCGCGCGCGGATCGCCCGCCGCGAGCAGACGCCCGTGGCACCGTCAGGGTGCGTCAGGAAGCGTCCTCTCCGTCCTCTCCTCGGCCCCCTGTCCTTCCTCCTCCAGGCGGATCACTACCAGCCTCCCAGAGCTAGTGCAGCGCTTCTTGTTCGTGGACAGCTTCCAGGGTGCCATGACACCTTGGCGACGGCGACGGCAACGGCGACGGCGACGGCGACGGCGGCTGCGGCGGTGGCGGCGGCGGCAGCGACGACGACGACGACGACGACGATGACGACGACGACGACGACGACGACGACGACGACGACGACGACGGCGGCGGCGGCGGCGACGACGACGACGATCGCGAGGGCGCGGCCAGCGGCGCCACGCGCAAGAAGAAGAGGAAGAACGCGGGAGCTGGCGCCGAGGCCCGGGGACCAAGGAAGAGGAGGAGGAATGGAGGAGAACGAGGAGGACGAGGAGGAGGAGGAGGAGGAGGAGGAAAATGGAGGAATGGAGGAATGGAGGAATGGAGGAATGTAGGAGGAGGGAGGAGGAGGAGGAGGAGGAGGAGAAGGGGGAGGAGGAGGAGGAGGAGGAGGAGGAGGAGGAGGAGGAGGAGGAGGAGGAGGAGGAGGAGGAGGAGGGGGAGAAGCAGGGTATCGGGGATCCTTGAACGATTGATGCGCTTTGGGGCCTATGAAGGCTTCTGGCGGCCTCCTCCGACCTCCGAGGACCTCGACGGACCTCTGGGGACTTTTGGGGGGCCCCCTCCCTCGGGAAGAGGCGGAGAGGGGAGGAGTTCGCGCGCGGCTTGGCGCTTGCTGTGCAGCGGCGGGGGAGACGCGGGGGGCAGGGAGGAGGGCAGGAGGACGATGAGGGGGATGGGTGGGAGGCGGCCAGCTCACGGTCAACTCAAGGAGAGGAGGGGGAAGTCATGGGTGAGGAATGGAGAGAAGGAGGACGAGAGTCCCCTCGGCCTAGAATGGCGACCCCATCTCACCCGGTCGGCGTTCCGTGTTTGACAATCCTTTGTGGAAGAATTCGAAAAAGGGAAGGCGAAGGGGGTAGAGGATCGGGGTATAGGAAGGGAGGAGGCTTCCAGACGCCACCGGGGATATAAACATGTCCCTGGAATGCGTCGGGAGGACCCAGAAAGGCCAAACGCGCCCAAAGCTTCGATCCTCGATCCTCGAAGAGGCGTAGGAGGACAGGGAGGGGGGTTGGGTCGGTGAGGAGGAGAAAAGGCTCTGTCAGGAGTGCTGGTCTGTCGTTGGAAGTATGCGTGGTCGGGAAAACTAATCCTAATCATTGACCTCTTGCGTATACCAATCAGCCGATCCAGAAACGATCGCCAGGCGAGTTGCCTTGATCAGGGAATTGTAGGAGCATCCACAGGAACAGACAGGTGAGTCAGTCGTCAAGCCGAAGCTCGGAATCCGCTTGAGCATACCCTGGAGTCGAACTGTAGAGCACGCCGTCGAAGACAGAGGGTGGAGGTGGAAGATAGAGTGACGACGGACGAGGGGAGGAGGGAGGAAGATGAAGAGGGAGGTAGGAGGAGGAGGAGGAGGAGGAGGAGGAGGAGGAGGAGGAGGAGGAGGAGGAGGAGGAGGAGGTGTCCCCCGTCCCCTCCGAGGCCCCCCTCGTAGTGTCCTCTCTTGCCCCCATCCCCGTACTTTGCCTCTTTGGCTTAGGTGCGCACTCGTGCTGCTGATGCTTCGAGATCGCCCCCTCATTCTACCAGAGCCCTCCAAAAGCGCCCAACGTTTCACCGACCTTCCAGTTTGCTACGACGGAGGGAGCGAAGCCGCGTGCCCGAGAGGGCTGAGGAAGGCCAGGCCAGGCCACACTCCGACATCTTGGTGTTGCAAGTAAGTGCTCCAAGCGTTCAGAATTACCCTTCCTCCATGTGGGTGCCTTTACCATTTGCCTCAGTATCGCCGCCTCCTGTGTATATATGTATATACACAAGGTTTCCAGAATTCACGAAAGTCTCGATATTGAGCAGAAGGTCGAACCCACAGAGACAGACACAAGTTGGCACAACAGACCTTCAGGCAGACGGGCACAGTGCGATTACAAGAGGGAGGTCCGCATTCCAAGGCACACGGCATGTGCTGAGCCCGACAGCCTATCGCACGCGGGCGGTGTCCCCAACGCCCAATAGGACCCACAGTGGAGGGCAGTGCTACGCCTACGCTGTTGTCACTGTCCATGGCGACGACCACGGTTTCGATCAAGAGGTGGACCACAACAAAGCCCCCCACACCATCCTTCAAGACGGTAGCGATTATGGTATCGACTCTGGCGACCAAGCTATAGAGTTGATTCGATTTTCAAGGAAAAGACGGCATCGGTCCCGTAGACATTTTGGCTCAAGCCGTTTTGGCTCAAGAAGGTTACAGGAGTGCGCTCGGAGGGCGCCACGCGCACGACCAGTTCTCCGCCGCGGCCTGCGCGAGGGAATGGCGGCTGCCGCCGCCGAGGGAGCCGCGGGCCACATCCAGCTGAAGGTCAAGGACCAGCAGGGCAGCGAGGTCCAGTTCAAGATAAAGAAGTCCACACCGCTTCGCAAGCTGATGGACGCGTACTGCAGCCGCCTCGGGCTGCAGGCCTCTCAGGTTCGCTTCATGGTCGACGGCGAACGCATCGCGCCCGACGACACCGCGGAGAAGCTCGGACTGGAGGACGAGGACCTGATCGACGTAGCGATGGAGCAGACCGGAGGTGCCCGCTGAACACCGCAGGCCAGAAGTGCCAGAGGTTCTAAGACAGAGGCCTGAGTCCTGAGTGTGTCCACACCGGCGCTCGAGCAGATGAAGAGGATGGGCTTGAAGTGGTGCTGCAGGGGTCAGCCGCCGTCCGACAGCCATTCCCTCTCTTCTCATTTCGCCTGCGTCACATCTCATCCCCCCGACCGTCTCCTTTTGTGTAGGGCTCGCGCTAGCGGGTATATAATTGATCGAGATTGCTAAACAAAGACAATGGGCTGTGTGCGGTAAGCGTCCTGGGCTCCAGCATTCGCGCGCAAAAAAAAGGATAGACGGCATCGGTGTGATTCTGAGTAGATTGAAGCATGCAGCGTATTTCTAGCGAGTGCCTCACTTCGGGAGTTGGCGCCACAGTGAACAATATCTACGTGGAGGTAGATATGTGACACGCTGCGCTGCAATCTGGCACGAGTCCACAGACGCTTATCTTCCACCGTTCACTGCCCATTCGGGGGGTGGGGATGAGGCGGAGGAGCGTTGCTCTTGGAGGAAACTCATGCCGCCAACCTCCTAAGTCTAGGCCGCCAGACTCGCAACTTGAAGTCGCCAGTCTCCCGTGCTTGAGCCGCCCCTCCTTGAGCACTCCTCCTCCTCCTCCTCCTCCTCCTCCTCCTCGTCCTCCTCCTCGTCCTCCTCTCCCCCCTCCTCCTCCTCCTCCTCCTCCTCCTCCTCCTCCTCCTCCTCGTCCTCCTCCTCCTCGTCTTCATCCTCCTCCTCCTCCTCCTCCTCCTCCTCCTCCTCCTCCTCCTCCTCCTCCTCCTCCTCCCTATCCTCCTCCTCCTCCTCCTCCTCCTCCTTCTCCTCCTCCTCCTGCAATGTAGAGCGACTGGTTGCCAGGTCCAGGCGGCGGTGGCAGGTGAGCAATTCCGGAAGTGCCGAGGCCAGAGGCTCGCAGCGGCAGGCCCAAGCATGAGCCTCACTCCTCCAGGGTTCTCGTTGAGGGCAAGACGTAGGAGGAGGAGGAGGAGGAGGAGGAGGAGGAGGACGCTGAGGAGGAGGAGTAGGAGGAGGAGGAGGAGGACACGGAGGACGAGGAGGAGGAGGAGGAGGAGGAGGAGGAGGAGTACGATTGGGATACAGAGGAGGAGGAGAGAAGGAGGAGGAGGATGAGGATTGTGGGGCTCTCGTTGAGGGTAAGATGGAGGAGGAGGAAGTTCAAGGGAAGGAGGATTCTATGCAGGAGGGAGATTGGTGGCAGGGTGTCTTGAGCGTGTCGACCGCCAGCGCTGCAGGACTGAGCGTGTCGACGCCAGAATCCCGCAGCGGCAGACCCAAGCACGAGTTTCACTTGTCCAGGACCCTCGATGAGGGCAGTATGGAGAAGGAGGAGGAGATGGAGATTGGGAGGACGAGAGGAGGAGGTTTGAGGTTAAACTTTACCTGACACTCGGCGAGGGCAATAATCACGGGCATCTTTACATCGACCCATCGTCGATTGTTGCAGGGCATCGTTTCGATGGCTTTGCCACCTTCGATGAACGCTGAGGGCATTGTATCGTTCGCCCTGCACTGTAGCGCGCCACCGCAGGCGCCTGCATTGTCACGATAGGTGTGGTGCCTGTGGGACGTGGTGGTGGCGGAGGTGGGGACAGATGTGTGATGAAGGGGGAAGCAGATATGCTTGAAGGCTGGCTGCGAGCTGCAGACCAGAACAGCGTTGAGTTCTGCCTGCGTGTCGCTCCCCCCTTTTTCTGGAAGGTGCACCAGCGTGGCCGCGCCACTTTCGAGTCCAGGTGTTCCTGTCGTGGCGATTGGCGGAGGAGGGGAGGAAGAGGAAATGATTGATGATAACGATGATGAAGATGATGATGTTGCTGCTGCTGCTGATGATGATGATGGTGGTGCTGGTGCTGGTGCTGGTGCTGATGCTGATGCTGGTGCTGATGCTGATGCTGATGGTGATTGCGATGATGCTGATGATGAGAATGATGATGTTGATGACGAGTGTGATGATGGTGTTGTTGATGATGATGATGTTGCTGATGGTGATACTGATGATGATGGTGATGATGCTGATGATGAGCATGATGATGTTGATGACGATGTTGATGATGGTGTTGTGTTGTTGTTGGTGATGATGATGATGTTGTTGATGATGATGATGCTGATGATGATGATGATGATGATGATGATGAAGATGATGATGCTTATGTGGTTGGGACGTATAGGGGAACTTGGCGTTAGGAGGTAGCACTCACCAACCGCCAGCGGCAGGCCCAAGCACGAGCCTGACTTGTACGCGGTCGGGAACCGTATCGCGGTTTCCTGCAGCGCAGAAGCGCAACATGATCGTCGTTTATGTCTGCCTGACATAAAAAAGAGGATGGAGCGGGCTGAGGAGGATCAGGATGATGAGGGGAGAAGGGGGGTGCCGACGAAATCAATAGCGACTAGTAGGAGGAGGAAGAGGAGGAGGAGGAGGAGGAGGAGGAAGAGGACGAGGACGAGGAGGAGGAGGAGAAGGAGGAGGAGGACGACACCGGCAGGAGTTCACCATGAAGGCATTCGCGGATCTTTCTTTTGGGGCCATCTTGGAGGATACCGATCAAAAAAAGGGGGGCCCAGCGCGGACCCTCTGGAGCCCAAGAACTCGCTTCGCGGGGCCCCCTTGGGGCGTTCTTGGGGCCGTCGTCGTGGCCCTCCACCTCCCCGCCCATCCGCGCTTCTTGCTGTCGTGACTGGCGCGCCCTGCGGCGCACCTGCCCCTCGTCCCCGAGGCGGCCGCGGCGGAGGCATGCACCCCTGCAGGGCCGGCGGGCAAGCGCCCGAGGAGGCCCCGACCTGCCCGCGCACGGGGCGGGGGGGGCAGTCGCCCCTGACCTTCCAGGAGGGCTAAAAAATAACACCCGACTTCAAAACCGATCCCAAAGCTATTCTACGTCTTGGTTTTAGACTGTTTGGCTCAGCTTTTTAGGTTTTTAGGTCTCCAGTGCTAAAAAATAGCTCTCTGGAAGGTCAGGGGCCGAGAGGGCGGGCCGCACCGGAGCCGTGCGCCGGCGGGGGAGGCGGGGGTCCGTGTGGCTCGACCTGTCCCCATCCCCACGGGCCCCGGCAGCTCTCGAAGGAGGGGGCAAACGCCACAAACATAAACTCTGACCGCTCCGCGCGGATCTCTCGGATCCGCGCCGGGGCCCCCTCCCCAGCGGCGCCTCGGGCGCCGCCCCGGGCGCGCCCCGCGCGCGCCGGGGAGGGGGGCCCAGCGCGGATCCGAGGAAGCCGCGCGGAGCGCCAAAAGTGTATGTCTATGGCGTTTTTTCTTGTTCTGTTGTCCCCATTCCCGCGGGCCATGGTAGCTCAGCCCCACCATCCTCAGGAGGGGAAAAAACACACAGACACAATTAATCGTCGACTCCCAGGAAAGTATGGGAAAATATGGGAAGTGGGGGGGGAAGACAAAAACCCAGAAAATATGTGAACATATGGGGAATAGTTTGTTTGTGTGAATTTATTTGTGTGTCCTGGGGCCCCTTCACATCCCACCTCTCCAGTAGGGCATGAGCCCCTCGAGACCCGAAGAGACCAGCCTGACTCCGCATCTGGAGGGGTACGTCGGCCAACGGGGATCGGTTAAACGATACCCACGGGATTCGGGGGAGGTCGGGTGTTGCTAGAAGTGGTCCTGGTCCAAGATGCCCCCAGCTCTACGCACCATTATGTGACCCTCTGGGCCTCGTGGGGGGGCACTGGAAGCCATCCGAGCCTCCTCCGAAATCCTGGGGACACCATGGGCCAGCTATACCTTTGGCACCACCCGAGAAGGGGAGGAGGAGTTGAGGTCTTGAATGGTTTTTGACAGAGGGGAGTCCTCCGGGTATGCCTCCAGAGTCTTCCATGGTGACCTCCAGACGCTTTCTGGTAGGAGGGGCAGGGATGGGTGTGAAAGAGGAAGCAGGAGGGACTGGGGAGCATGACAGTGAGCAGGGAGGAGGGGGGATGGGGGAGAAGGCAGGCAGTAGGAGAGAGGGGAAAGAGGACAGAAGATGGAGGAGGAGGAGGAGGAGGAGGAGGAGGAGGAGGAGGAGGAGGAGGAGGAGGAGGGAGGAGGGAGGGAAGGAGGAGTCTGCTTGCGTTGCAGCCCTTGGTGCGGTGCGGAGGGGCTGGGCAGGACGTTGCCAGCGTCATGGTTGGGCAGGGTTGTTAACTGTTTTGGAGCAGTGGACTTGGGCGCTATCTATCATGTGTTTGGGGGCCGCAGACACTGAGTGAAATGCGGTACACACATTCTAGAAGTATTAGCAATGGTCTGCAGCAACATGAGGATGGACGGTGGACGTGGAAAAAGAGAGAGGACACGGAGGAGCAGGTGGAGGAGGATTCAAGGTTTAATGTTCTAGGGTCGGTTGCGTCGCATTTGACGAGGGAAAAGCAGAGGAGGACTTCATGGGCTCCAGGACTGGCAACATATTCGGAGGGAGTCGGCGGATAACGAGGCTGACAGCCAGCGCCATGCTACACCGTACGCCGGGTCGGCGGAGCGGTGCGTTCTGTCGAAAGGCATACAGTGGAGGCCCTTGCCAAGAAACACCCTGCTTGCCTCCAGGGTGCCCTGGGTGTCTTGGGTTTCGATGGTTTTGCTTATGGAGAGCGTGCCGTTCCCACAGCGAGAATCTATGGACGTCCTGGGATCTCAGGGTATGATGTTCCAACCTACTTTAGCCTTTTATCACCAGAAAGAATTTCGAGCACCAAGGAAGTACAGAGACTGGAGGGTTTTCACGTGTCGGGCCCTCCTGGGAGGCGACACTCGTTCGAAACTGTCTCGACACTTTTCTGGGCGCTCGAAATTATTCCTGGGGTGTGGTCCCTAAGTACGATGCGAGCTACATAAGTCTCAGGGTCGGGCTTCTGTGGAAGGTTTCTCGTGCTCGAGCCCCTGCTGCACACCGTGGGCAGAAGAGGGGGCCCATCTGGGCGGGCGCGCGGGCGCCGCTCGACGACGCCGCGAGCAGCGGAGCGGGGTCTTCAAGGAACGGCGAGAGCCGCCTTGCGGCGGCGAGGAGGAGGGGGAGGAGAAGGAGGAGGAAGAGGAGGAGGAGGGGGGGAGGAAGAGGCTGAGAAGGGCGTGAAGAGGAGGAGGAGGAGGAGGAGGAGGAGGAGGAGGAGGAGGAGAAGGGGGAGGGCCAGAGCGAGGGGAAGGCAGTGGGGGCGAGGCCTCGCCCACCCCCCCCCCCCAGAGCGAGGGGAAGGCAGTGGGGGCGAGGCCTCGCCCACCCCCCCCCCCCCCCCCGAGGCCCGGGAAGCGCGCAGCGGCCGCCGGGGGCGGCGGGCTCCCAGGCTAGAGGCCGGAGCGTCAGCCGCGCTTGCCCGAGAAAAGGTCCAGCAGTGGCGAAGCGTCCTGGCTCGCAAACATGGATTCAGAGCCCCAAAATCATCAGGGGTAATTCGGGTCAGGGCTAACTCGGCTTCGTTTGTCGGGACTCCAAACCCGAGTTACCCCGGACCCGAGTTACCCCAGATAACTCGGGCGCCCAATGGATGAAGGGGGCGTGGGTTAGCGACGGGTCCCGTTTCCCGGGGAAATCGCGGATTTCAGCCGCCGAGCGAGGCGGCACCGGCCGCATTCTGGGGAGGGCACCTCCCCCGATCCATGTTTGCGCGCCCCCGACGATGGGCCCACCAAAGAATGTTCTAAGAACCTGTTGTGGTCTGCACGAAGTGTTCTCAGAGAACAGTTCTGGCTGGGGTTGTCTTGTGTTAACACCTCTTGCTTGCGTTCTAAGAACATGTTGTTGGACTCATCACCGTGCCCGTTCACTCGCACTGCCGCTCGCAACGGCCAAGCATTGCACCGACTGCTCGGGGACCGACGTGATGCTGCTGCATGACATGGGGCTGATGCATGGTAGCTGTGTGCTGACTGTGAGCCTGCAGCTGCTGATGCATGATGCTGAGTTCTGCTGATGCTGTGCTGACGCTGCTGCTGCGGCTGCGGCAGAGACTGCGGATGCGGCTGAGGCTGCGGCTGCGGATGCAGACTGATGCATGATGGTGATGATGCTGACATGTGATGATGAATGATGACACGCTGACGAAGCCAGCTGCCGACGCCGCCTCCGCAGACTGCAGCTTCGCTTAGCTTCTTCAGCATGCAATCATCATCATCATCATGATCATCATCATCATCATCAGCAGCATCATCATCATCATCAGCATCATCATCATCATCATCATCATCGTCCATTACCGCACACCCCTCACGCAGTTCGTGGCCCCATAGGGAGATCTACCGAAGGCCCCAGTGGCTGCGATCGCATGCGTCACCGCCACCCATTACGGCACACCCCTCACACGGTTCGTTGCCCCATAGGGAGTTCCACCGGAGGCCACAGTGGGTGCGGTTGCATGCGCCACCGCCATTACGGCACGCCCCTCACACAGTTCGTGGCCCAATAGAGGGCTCCACCGAAGGCCCCAGAGGGTGCGGTTGCATGCGCCAGCGCCACCCATTACGGCACACCCCTCACACGTTTCGTGGCCCCATAGGGAGCTCCACTGAAGGCCCCAGTGGGTGCGGTTGCATGCGTCACTGCCACCCATTACGGCACACCTTTCAGACGTTTCGTTGCCCCATAGGGAGTTCCATTGAAGGCCCCAGTGGGTGCAGTTGCATGCGTCCACCGCCACCCATTACGGCAGACCCCTTACACGGTTCGTGCCCCCAAGGGGAGTTCAACCGAAGGCCCCAGTGGGTGCGGTTGCATGCGTCGCCGCCGCCCATTACGGCACACCCCTCACACGGTTCGTGGCCCAAATAAGGAGGTCCACCGAAGGCCCCAGTGGGTGCGGTTGCATGCGTCACCGCCACCCATTACGGCACACCTTTTTACACGGTTCGTGGCCCCATAGGGAGCTCCACCGAAGGCCACAGTGGGTGCGGTTGCATGCGTCACCGCCACCCATTACGGCACACCCCTCACACGGTTCGTTGCCACAGAGGGAGCTCCACCGAAGGCCTTTGTGGGTGCAGTTGCATGCGCCACGGCCACCCATTACGGCACACCCTTTACACGGTTCGTGCCCCCACAGGGAGTTCCACCGAAGGTTCTAGTGGGTGCGGCTGCATTTCGTGGCCCCATAGGGACCTCCACCGAAGGCCCCAGTGGGTGCGGTTGCATGCGTCACCGCCACCCATTAGGGCACACCCCTCACACGGTTCGTGGCCCCATAGGGAGCCCCACCGAAGGCCCCCGTGGGTGCGGTTGCATCCGTCACCGCCACCATTACGGCACATCCCTCACACCGTTCGTGGCCCCATAGGGAGCTCCACCGAAGGCCCCAGTGGGTGCGGTTGCATGCGTCACCGCCACCCATTAGGGCACACCCCTCACACGGTTCGTGGCCCCATAGGGAGCTCCACCGAGGGCCCCAGTTGGTGCGGTTGCATGCGTCACCGCCACCCATTACGGCACACCCCTCACACGGTTCGTGGCCCCATAGGGAGCGAGCGGTTGCATGCGTCACCGCCACCCATTACGGCACACCCCTCACACGGTTCGTGGCCCCACAGGGGGCTCCACCGAAGGCCCCAGTGGGTGCGGTTGCATGCGTCACCGCCACCTATTACGGCACATCCCTCACACGGTTCGTGGCCCCATAGGGAGCTCCACCGAAGGCCCCAGTGGGTGCGGTTGCATGCGTCACCCCGTAGGGAGCTCCACTGGTCCGCCCGCATGCGACTCCCCACCCAGTGCAGCGCTTCGTGGGCCCACCGAAGCCCCCACTGGCACCGCCCGCACGCGTCGGCCAACACCCAGTACAGCGTATCGTGGCCCTGTAGGGAGCTCCACATAAAGACCCCAGTGGCACCGCCCGCGTGCGTCTCCCCAAACCAGTACAGCGCTTCGTGGCCTCATCGGGAACTCCAGCGAAGGGCACCGCCCGCATGCGTCCGCCACGCCCAGTACAGCGTCTCGTGGCCCATAGGGAGCCCCACCGAAGGCCCCAGTGGCACCGCCCGCATGCGCCCCCCCACCCATTACTGCACGTCCCTCACGTGTTTCGTGGCCGTATAGGAAGCTCCACCGAAAGCGGCACGCACAACGCGTTTTTTTCAACCGCATATGGTTTGGTCCTTCGCCAGCCTAATTTTTGACCATTCTTAGTTTTTCATCCTCAAGTCGCCTGTAGGGGGTCATGCTCGACCGAAGGGTAGGGTTAACCTGTGGTCACTTAAGCGAGCAGCAAAGGCAAGGGAGCCGGGGACAGCTTTTCTCCCGTCGGCTGCGCTGGTGACTCCACCTGCGGCACGGCTCTGGGCCAGAGGCCCAGCAGGGGCGTCGACGCGCGCGCGCGCCCCAGCGGCTGTGGGAAAGCAAGACAGCAAGAAGCAATACTTACGGTTAGGCTTAAGTCGGGCGTGTACCTTTACAGGAGGAATATGCAAACATCCGGCTGTAGGAGGACATGCCCGACCTAAGGTTAGGCGCAGCAAGCATTGCACGGGCGGTTGTGACCATTATCATCGGCAAAACATATCCTAGCCGGGCGCCCGTGCTACGGGCAGCAGCCGTTTGTTCGGCCCACCCCTTATCTTATCCTAGCGTCGTTCAGGCAACATTGTTTTCACCTTCGTTTGGGAGTTCCAACCAACCTAGACAAATTCTTGCGACTATTTGAAGTGGCTGTAGGTCGAATTGCGTGGTCGCGGACACTTGGCCGCAGTGCGATCTTTGCAGACGGGCACGCCGAAGTGACCCGGATTCGTTCTGGAGTTGAAATGGCCAAGGATGGGCGCGACAACATCGGGCACGTTCTGGTCTTTTCGCGCAACACCACAGTGGACGGGGATCTAACGCGAGTCATGCGGACATCGGGCGTGGCGCTGCCAACGCGTGCATCAGCCTACGTAGCGCCGTTCTTACACGCGCTGATCCAAACGATGCGGCAGATTACGTTTGGCCTCCACTTCAAAGCCAACTTTTCGCTGAGCCAGCTGGCCAGCTGCCACATATTGGCTGCACACCCACGCACGGACTCTGCTGGGCCCCACGTGCATTGGCGACATTCCGCCCAGCACCAAGAGCTCGGTGCCACTCCCAGCTCTTCCCGCACGCCCATTTCGCAGCGTTGAGATTGTTCACCTTCACTGTTGACCCCCCGCTGCCGCCTCTTGCAAGAAGCATAGCCCGCGCCGCCCGCCATCGCCTGATCTTCTCGTGGACGCTTCCGGTGCCAGTCTTTCGCCACGCAGCGTCGAGGCCCAACGCCGCTGCTCTTACGCCCTGCGGACGCTGACCCCAGCTCTGCTGCTGATCATGTGGGGCTCAAACTTCGCACTCGGCTTTTTTCCTGAGTAGCGACAGAGCCGGCTGCCACGACGACGACCGTGCGCGACGACCGTGTGGTTGATCGCCTTAGCGTCAAAGTGCGAACTCAACGAAATGCTGGGCAGCGACAGGGCCCCCTGCCTGCTCACTCACTCTGGTGGTGCTGGTCGTCGTGTTGGTGTGCTCTTCGTTGGGAGTGTTGTCGCGGCCGGTTTCTCTGCTGGTGTCAAGTCTGCAGTCTTCTCTGCCTCCGTATCTTCCTTTTCGTCGGCCTCGTTGCCCTCCTCTCCTACCTGCTGAGGCCACAGCCTGTCCGACCCTATCTTCAGCATTCTGGTCTATCTTCTTCTCGGCCTCCGTGGCCGTCGCCTCTTGCGGCTCCTGGGTATATGTTCTGGCGCCCCCTCCTCGTGGGGTGATCCTGGCAGTGGTGGTGGTAGTTGTGGTCGTCGTCGTCGACGTCGTCGTCGTTGCCTTCGCCAATACATTTGCCCCCGCAACTGCCAGAGTAGTAGTAGTAGTAGTAGTAGTACTACTACTACTACTACTACTACTACTACTACTACTACTACTACTACTAGTAACAGTAGTAGGAGCTGTAGTAGTAGTAGTAGTAGTAGTAGTAGTAGTAGTAGTAGTAGTAGTAGTAGTTGCATTAGTAGTAATATCAGCAGTAGTAGTAGTAGTTGTTGCAGTAGTAGCAGTTGTAGTAATATTAGTCGTAGTAGTAGTAGTAGTCGTCGTAGTCGTAGTCGTAGTCGTAGTCGTAGTAGTTGTTGATGTTGTTGGTTTAGTAATCATGGTCGTAGTCGTAGTAGTAGTAGTAGTAGTAGCAGCAGCAGTAGTAGTAGTAGTAGTACTAGTGGTAATAGTAGTAGTATCAGTAGTCGTAGTAGTAGTAGTAGTAGTAGTAGTAGCAGTAGTAGTAGTAGGAGGAGGAGGAGTAGTAGCACTAGTAGCGGAAGTACAGTAGTAGCAGTAGTAGTAGTAGTTGTAATAGTAGTAGTAGTCGG